TAGAGTTAACTCAACCTAATTTGAAATTCACTGGAAAGTTTATTTTATTTGGCAAACAATTCAGTTTCAAGGAAACAAGGAATATAAAAAGCTCATAAAAGAAACAGTGATGCTTCAGCTACAGAAAACCTAATGTGAAACTCTAAGCTGTTAACATGAATCATTACCGAACAAACAACCAGGAACGGGTTTCAATATAAACACAAATTGTGTAATAGAAAGTCTGTGTAACTCAGCTCTGGCATCTCTGTAAACTTCAGCCCTTCCCATTACCTTTAAAGGAGTGTGTACCCTGAACTAAATATGGACATGCACTTTCACAGGATTTCGAAGAATGTCCCAGGCTCAGAGTCCACTTTGATGATGTGAGCCTCTTGCAGTTGGTCACTGGTACCCCTCACTGCAGCACTGCGAGTCCAGCCTCTTTGCACCAGGATTGATGCCTCTGGTGGCTTTTCGTTGAGCGGGACGTGAAGGGACAGCAGGACATCAGCGTTGGCCTATTTGACTTCTCACCACAGGAGTGAAATTACACCATATTTAGATTTTTTTGATAAGGGATTTACTTTCCAACTACCATCAGCACCTCCAAAGAATTCTAATTTCCTCTCCTCGATTGTTGCCTGTGACCCCAAATCTGTATCTTTTTTAAATTTTTTGGCCAACATGTCCAGGAGAAAAGTGAGAGGCCTGACCCGCACAGGCCGCCAGGTCAGCGAGGACCCTGACCTGGACAACCTGCTGTCCACCCTGTCCCCCGAGGAGATGGAGGAGCTGGAGAAGGACATGATGAAAGTGCCTGACCTCACCCCGGAGGACGGGAAGATCGTCGTCCAAGGGGAGAGCCAGCCTGCACAGCCACCTATGAGCAACAACGTTGGGGACACTAAACTGGACAGCAGGCGGGAGAGGCTCAGTCAGAGGGAACAGTCATTTGAGGTTAGTGTATAATTAAATGTATTCCTTATCTTCTTTAACAGCAACTTAATTAGGGTTTTACACGAGGGAAACACCCTCTTCTCTATATGTAGATCTATATGAATATGCATTATTGTCTTCAAGTTTTCGGTAGAAATAACCTGCACATGTGAAGGGTTTATAAAATCAAACAACAATATATGACTGATTACAGTATTACACAACATCCAGTGTCCCAGGCTGATAGCTTTCATATTCCATTATTCATTTTGCATAAAGCGAACTGCCAAGTGGACCACATGCACCCTGAGTCCAGTCCATCAGCTCATAAATACTGGTCCCCAGAGTGGGTTTCTGTGCCAGGAAAAATATTTCTTTCGCCTCTGAGGCTCGCTTGAATCCATTTCACATTATTAATCATCTCCTCGCAAGCAGCAAAAGGCCTCTTAAACATGTGAAATAATTTCTATTTATGACACACCATAAAAGATTTTTAACACAAAGATCCCTCGTTGGCTGGAGTGTCAAGGAGCCAGATTTCTAGCAGTTTCTGTGTTTGAAGCAGAGGCACCTCAGTGAATGCAGCAGCAGCCCTGCGGAGCTTCTTAATCCCAGCCTAATGGAATTCCTTGGTTGATTGCTTCTACGCTCCCTGCCTTTTAAGGATACATCTGCCAGGGCCGCGGGCTCACGCAGCAAAACAGATGGAGACTCACAAATCAAACCCTTAGAAAGCTACTCGCTGCAAGTGTGTCCCTGCACTGTAGAATATGGATCTGTGTCCTTTTGCTGACTGTAGACATACATGCCACATTGTGTCAGGGGTGTTGTATATGTTAACTGTTCTGTTGTTGACATATTAACTGGTTTGTTTTCTTATGTAATGTCAATTTTCACATCACATACATGCTCGTCCTCCTGCAGGGGGAGCTGAAAAAGGAGAGCCGGAAGCAAGAATACCTGAGGAAGATGGGCCTGAGCCAGGAGGGCAACGACGACATCAGTGTTGGACTACGAAGACAAGCTAGCATCTCGAACGAAAGAGATACCAGGGTCGACGACAGAAACAGCAAAGGTCCCGAAAACTCAACAGAAGAGCGCAGTCGGCTCTCAAGTAGATACAGGAAACAGGAGAGCAACGAGAGCGATGTGAAAGAGGAGAATAATGTCAAAGAGAAATGTGAAGACAGTAAATTAAGAGACAGAAGAGAAAACAGAGAGAGCACAGGCAACAAAACAAAGGATATGATCTCCAAGTTACAGGAAAGGAAGGATGACGGTAGAGAGAAGGAGAGGAAAGAAGACTGCAGGAGACGAGATGAAAGCAAAACCAAAGACATCATCTCAAAGCTACGAGAAAAAAGTGAAAAGGACGCAGGAAAAGAAAAGGAGAGAAAATCTGAGAGTATCAGGACACAAGGGCTTGTCTCTAAAATGTTGGAGAAACAGAGTAAGGTACAGGAAAACCAGGAGAGCAAATCAGAAGAGAAGAAGCCAAAAGCAGAGGAGAAAAAAGCTGAAGATAAAACCAAACCTGATGTCAAACTTGAGCGACAGCAGTCTGAGAAGGGCGAGGTGCAGGTGAAACATGACAAGGCAGAAAAAAGGACAGATAGAGAAGAGCTGGTTAACCACAGCGACCATGTGAAAGAGAAGGACAAGAAAGCAGAGGAGGAAAAAGATTCTGGTAGAGGGAAAGTTAAAAAAGATACAGAAACGGAGAAACTTGGCAATTGTGTTGCCAAAAACAGCCCAAACAGCAAGTCCAAGGTGGAAGAGGAGGAGGACGAAGAGTCGAGCATGTTCGATGAGCTG